ACCACTGGCTTAAATTGCAAATGCAGACTCCTCCTTTCCTCTCCCCACCCCTACCCTCCACCCCACCCTCCACCCCCAACCCCTTCCTTCCTCTCCCCACCCCAACCCTCCACCCCACCCCCACCCCTACCCTCCTTTCCCCTACCCCTACCCTCCACCTCCAAACCCTAACTTCCTCTTCCAACCTCACCCCACCTCTCCCCACCCCTATCCTTCTCTCCCCACCCCTCCCCATCCCTACTTTCCTCTCTCTCTTTGTCTTTCTCTCCTCCAACTCACTACCCTCCACCCTTGTATTGTCATTACTGAAATCTGCCTCGGGTACAATGATATGTTTAATCAACCAGAATACAGCTGAGAGTTGATTTGTCAAGGTGCTTCAGCATCCTCTGAAGCCATCAGACAACCAATCTTCAATTTATTTTTTCTCAAGGCTGGTTATTCGGCCGGCGTTGATGTTTTATGTTATATTTATGACAAGCTTGTGGTACTGTGGTGTGATTGGTCCAGGAATCCAGAGTTAAAGTATCACACATAGCTGTCCGTATTCATGTGTACATAGGGGATACAAGTGGCCCTGTAGATTTAGTGGCTGCAATATTCTCCACGGGTTGCATCCTTTGCGTGTGCCAGAATCCTATGAAGATATCTGGCTCTCCTCCTATATTAAAATGTTTGGTTATTTGTTTGTTGTTTAATGCCGCACTAAGCAATATTCCAGCTAGATGACAGCAGTCTGTAAATAATCGAGTCTGGATCAGACAATCCAGTGATTGATATTATGAGCATCGATCCACGCAATTGGGATTCGATGACAGAGTAGGCTCGCCTGACCACCTGATCCCATTAGTCACCTCTTACGACAAGTATAGTCACCTTTTATGACAAGCATAGTCACCTTTTATGACAAGCATAGTCACCTTTTATGACAAGCATGGGTTGCTGAAGACCTATTCTACCCTGGATATATCGACATTAAGGTGACGTGCTATTCCAAATAGCGTTATGCACAAGTCACTTGTCTCTCTACAGATAATCTCTAATCTGTAATGAAGCAGGACTTCTATTGGGTCGTATCATTTTTATTTCAGCTGTCTTTTTCCCCTGTAGGGATTAGGGTTAGAATTGGTCCCCAGCAAGCTATGTTGGCTGTAAGAGGTTGTTGTTGTTGGTTTGTTGTTTAACGCTGCACTCAGCAATATTCCAGCTATATGACGGCGGTCTGTAAATAATTGAGTCTGGCCCAGACAGTCCAGTGATTGATATCATGAGCATCGATCCATGCAATTGGGATCGATGACATGCATCAACCAAGTCAGCGAGCCTGACCACCTGATCCCGTTAGTCGCCTTTTACGGCAAGCATGGGTTGCTGAAGACCTATTCTACCCAGGATCTTCACGGGTCGGTTGTAAGAGTTGGCCAGATGGACTTGGTGGTCGGGCTCGGTTACTTGGTTGATTTCGTGTCATCATACCCCGACAACTTCAATCATTTCTCACAATATCGATCACTGGATTGCCATGTCCAGACTTGATTATTTACAGGATGCCATTATATAGATGGATGTTACTGAGTGTGGCCTAAAATAAAAAAACACACAAACAAACATATATATATATATTTTAAACAAACTTAAAAAACCCAGGATTGCATGGTATATTTATTACCAACATAGTAAGAAAAAGTGATGTGATTCTAATTACCTGACTAACCCTAATTAAGGTGCTGACCATTGCTACTTTATTTCAGTAGTACTCACTGTTAGAGGAAAAGATATGACAGATTAACTATAGTCATATGAAAATCAGGTGTTCTTTAACTTCTTAATACAGACCCTGATACAAATATATCCAATGCAGCCCATGCAAGTCTATAATGTTTGGCAAGTCTAGATTACTGCAGTATTAAGCTGGTCTCTGGGCTCCTTGTATTATATTTTTATTAAGATAATATAACAAATATCAATCACAATTGCATACCAAGTAAAAAGTATCATTCAAACCTTAAATGTATTCTTTTATAAATGTTAAACCAAACACTAATCACTAGTGAAAATGAGTAGTGAAAACGTAAATATTTTCATCCATTGCACCAGTACTTGACATTGCAAAGAGTAAATTGTTAGTATGCTAGGTATTTGGCCATCCTGTCTATGAAAAAGATGGCTTACGCACCACCGATAAGAGCATGTGCAAGAATCGTGATATGTATCGGATTGTGAGCATGGTATCGTGATACGTATCGGATCGTATCGGATCAGATCGGATCGGATCGGATCGGATCGCACTGTTGGTGATGACCAGATTGGTGATGACCAGATGACCAGATGAATGATGACCCAGATCGGTGATGACCCAGATCGGTGATGACCAGATCGGTGATGACCAGATCGGTGATGACCAGATCGATGATGACCAGATCGGTGATGACCCAGATCGGTGATGACCAGATCGGTGATGACCAGATCGGTGATGACCAGATCGGTGATGACCAGATCGATGATGACCAGATCGGTGATGACCCAGATCGGTGATGACCAGATCGGTGATGACCAGATCGATGATGACCAGATCGATGATGACCAGATCGGTGATGACCAGATCGGTGATGACCAGATCGGTGATGACCAGATCGATGATGACCAGATCGATGATGACCAGATCGGTGATCCCCAACCTGTCACATGGTGGTTTTTGTGGAGGATAAAATAGATGTTGTGGTTTTGATTTCAGTGATTTCGGTGAGGACGGTCTATAAGAGGAATAATTGATATACTTGTACCTCTTGAGAATGTCTTCAACTGATTTGTAACAGTTTCATACTTAATTGATGAAAGCTTTTGAACTTCTTTTAACTTTACCCGACATGGGTACAATGTGTGAAGCCCATTTCTGGTGTCCACCGACGTGATATTGCTGGAATATTGCTAAAAGCGGCGTAAAACCAAACTCACTCACTCACTCTTTCAACTTTATGATTTTGACATGTTATTTTAAACAAACAGTTTTGTCAGTATGAGATTTTGTGTTGATGTTACCAAGAATTTTTTTGTGATGATAACAGCAAAAATTAATTACCAACATTCCTATTTTATATCAATTAATGGCTGTCACAGCAGCAGTCAGACAGTGTCACTGTGACCCATTAGGCCATCATGTATTGATTATCTGTTTTCTAAATACTTTTTTTTTTTACAAACTGAGTTTCAGAGTGACAGGTGTTTATCAAATGACACGATGAATTAATGTCAAAGATGGAAGAAATATACTGTCTGTTGGTGGATGTTCCCCAAACAGGTCTCCAGGAGCCCATGACTGTTGCTTGGCTGTTTGGCGTCGTAGGGAAGAGCCAGATAATCCTTCTGTAGGGAAAAGCCAGATAATCCTTCTGTAGGGAAAAGCCAGATAATCCTTCTGTAGGGAAGAGCCAGATAATCCTTCTGTAGGGAAGAGCCAGATAATCCTTCTGTAGGGAAGAGCTAGAAAATCCTTCTGTAGGGAAGAGCCAGATAATCCTTCTATAGGGAAAAGCCAGATAATCCTTCTGTAGGGAAGAGCCAGATAATCCTTCTGTAGGGAAGAGCCAGATAATCCTTCTGTAGGGAAGAGCCAGATAATCCTTCTGTAGGGAAAAGCCAGATAATCCTTCTGTAGGGAAGAGCCAGATAATCCTTCTGTAGGGAAGAGCCAGATAATCATTCTGTTGGGAAGAGCCAGATAATCCTTCTGTAGGGAAAGGCCAGATAATCCTTCTGTAGGGAAGAGCCAGATAATCCTTCTGTAGGGAAGAGCCAGATAATCCTTCTGTAGGGAAGAGCTAGAAAATCCTTCTGTAGGGAAGAGCCAGAAAATCCTTCTAGAGGAAAGAGCTAGAAAATCCTTCTGTAGGGAAGAGCCAGATAAACTTTCTGTAGGGAAGAGCTAGATAATCCTTATGTAGGGAAGAGCTAGAAAATCATTCTATAGGAAAGAGCTAGAAAATCCTTCTGTTGGGAAGAGCCAGATAATCCTTCTGTAGGGAAGAGCTAGAAAATCATTCTGTTGGGAAGAGCCAGATAATCCTTCTGTAGGGAAGAGCTAGAAAATCCTTCTGTTGGGAAGAGCCAGATAATCCTTCTGTAGGGAAGAGCCAGATATTCCTTCTGTAGGGAAGAGCTAGAAAATCATTCTGTTGGGAAGAGCCAGATAATCCTTCTGTAGGGAAGAGCTAGAAAATCCTATTGTAGGGAAGAGCCAGATAATCCTTCTGTAGGGAAGAGCCAGATATTCCTTCTGTAGGGAAGAGCTAGAAAATCATTCTGTAGGGAAGAGCCAGATAACCCATCTGTAGGGAAGAGCCAGATAATCCTTCTGTAGGGTAGAGCTAGAAAATCCTTCTGTAGGGAAGAGCTAGAAAATCCTTCTGTAGGGAAGAGCTAGAAAATCCTTATGTAGGGAAGAGCCAGATAATCATTCTGTAGGGAAGAGCTAGAAAATCATTCTGTAGGGAAGAGCCAGATAATCCATCTGTAGGGAAGAGAATCAGATAATCCTTCTGTAAGGAAGAGCCAGATAATCATTCTGTAGAGAAGAGCTAGAAAATCCATCTGTAGGGAAGAGCCAGATAATCCATCTGTAGGGAAGAGCTAGAAAATCCTTCTGTAGGGAAGAGCTAGAAAATCCTTCTGTAGGGAAGAGCTAGAAAATCCTTCTGTAGGGAAGAGTTAGAAAATCCTTCTGTAGGGAAGAGCCAGGTATTCCTTCTGTGGCAAGAGCTGTGTATTCCTTCTGTCTCAAGAACCAGGTATTTCTTCTGTCTCAAGAGCCAGGTATTCCTTCTGTCTCAAGAGCCAGGTATTCCTTCTGTGGCAAGAGCTAGGTATTCCCCCAGGGTGGTGTTCTCTCTCTCATGTAAAGCTGGTCTGTCTGTGGTGAGAGCTGATACGCTTCCCCGCCCACAGAGGCAGGTGTGCGGAGCCAGGCGAAGGAGTGGCTGAGATTGTTGGGACAGCCAGTCATCCACTGTCATCACAATGCTCTCCGTCTCGGCTCATTGTCAGGCACGTGCGTGTGCAACTTGGGGCGTTTAAACTGACTTTTCATAACGTAATCCTCACCTCAACCACCCTGTGTATGTGCGACTCCTTTACACGTCATTATTCTCACCCGTCTTGTGGGAATAGGTCACACCAGGAGCGTTTAAAAAAAACCTCAATCTTGTCAAGTCTTCTTGACTTAAGACTTCCTTCGGAAGTGGAAATTGACTGACTTACATCATAGTGTTACAGTGAAGAGGATCTGGAACATTTAGTGAACAATTAACTGTTTGATCATTGTCTGCTACGACTCTTTTCTGAGAGTGACATAACGAGCTATTATGGAATACAGAACCAATCATGTGATCTCGACTGAAACTTGGCAGCCGATGTCTGTCTAATTGCGAGTTATTTCACATTGTCATCGACACAAACCTCAGGATGACGACAGCAGGTTACCGAGGTTCTGCCTCTTCGGTGGATTGTATGCCCTTGTATAGCTCTTATGTCTTGAAGGTAGGTTCGCACAAGGCACTTGATCATCACTTTAGGGTTCATTATTTCCACAAAGCCATTATCCTGGCGTAGTTAATCCCAGAAAGATGTTGTGTGGAGACTCTGTTGACATTGATTCCTGTGATGCTGTCAACTGCTTGTTTAGCCGTCAAATTTTCTGTACTTAAGATTTCCACAGTTCAATTTCAGAATTAAGACATCATGATTAGACAATTGTTTTCTTCAAGTTAGAATTAAGACAAATGTTTGAATCTTTGTAGGTACTGGGACTTTATTTTCAAACAATTCAAATGATTTGGTGATTTTCAAATTTAGATTAACGTATAAAGGAATTGCATTTTTGATGCCAGTCTTGTCAAGCACTGGAGATCAGAACTGGCATGGTGTTACTGTGGACTTTCATCTCTCTATTCCCTGTTCTACATTCACAAATACACAAATCTTTGCTGTCTGTGGATTAATTTGAACAATTTTTTGTAATCCCAGGGTATGAAACTCCCAAAGATTTCAGCCAGACCACAGGACTGGCTAGCTGAAATACTTGCCAGCCCTGCCCACTATAATCATATGTTTCTCAGGATAATTTAATTAAAACTTTAAATCGAATTCATTGAACATGAAGTAATGCAAGAAAAGAAATATCAAACACTTTTAAGGTCAGATTTGTATTTAATATCCTAGAATACATCATGTAAATATCCATATTCCTAAATAGGGCCTAAATTTTAGGTTGTCTAAAAGCTAACGGGTTACATTTTATCATTCATCTTTACATGTGAATTAATGCTTATCATCGGGAAATATTTAGAATATTGTCACATATGAAATATAACCCGACCGTCGGGCAGGGGGATATGAAAATCTGGCAGCCCGAGTTGAAATCAACCCGTCTCGGACGGTCGGGCAGGCAGATATTTCGAACGCTGGTAATCCATGTCAATAATGAAAACTGTTAACTCCAACTTGTTACAGTGTTTATTAGGATGGATTACACAATAAGTGAAAAAGCTCTAGATTTCTAAGAAAACCACTGCTAAATATCTAACTCTGCACAAGTGAAGTCATATGACATTAAGTCCTTTATGTCACACTTCTATGTGTATTAGATAACATGTAACACCTGCAGTCTTGTGACAAAGAGCTTAACAGACTGCTGAGAAAGTGTATTAGACGGAATAGATGTGATAAAAAGCATTAGAAAATCAAATAAATTGTGGTATCTTTTTAAGATTAATTTAAATTTATTAAATATTATTATTCAAAATTTGAATTTGCATTGTTATTGAAAATACATTACATCTTTACTTGTATGGTTAGAGAATGAATGGTCTTTCATGTATGACTGCGTTTGAGAACTAAAACATTCTTTAAATTAATTTATTAGATCTATATTTTATTTATTACATGGAAATATGTTTATGATTAGTATTTTAGTGTGGGATGTTTTGTATCTGATCGAGGCGTCTTCCAGACTTACTGCTACAGAACCCCATTTTTCTGGAGGCAATAAACCACAGTCAGATCCCTGTTTACAACATGTCACAAGCTCTACAAAGTAGAATTTATTCATCGCACAATAGATTCCAAATGCTGTAAACTCTGTAGGTCTTTAAGAGGAGCTTAAAATTCAATTCATTATTCTTGAAATATGTTTCTTACAAAAGAATTTCACTTTTTGAAATCGAAACTTAGACAGGTGTATTTTTGTGTGAGCTGTGATGTCTTCGTATGTGTTCTTTTGCAGTGCATTAAACTAAATTATAGCTGTTTTGTGTGGTTATTTCATGACTTGATAGTTGTGTATTTACAACTGGTTGTGAAGGGGAAGTTTGTATGGACTGTTTTTGTATGATGTGTTTGTGAGGGGTGTCACCGGTGGGGCAGGATACACTTAAAATATCACGAACACCTGGTGTCATCACAGATCGAGCAGTGATTCCTAAACTCATTCTTATGATATAGTCAGAGGCGCACACAATGCTATCAGTAGAGATTTCGTATGATTATAAAAAGGTTTGGTCACTTTTATTTTACCAGTATCAATTTCTAGATTGAAAAAAGTGTTTTTATTGAATGAAAGTGAAGTTGTCATTTTATACTTGCTTCTGTGTCTACTACAAGAGAATAATATTGTAGGTGTTGCTTTCTCGGTAGTATTGATTATTAATCAGATTCCCTTTTACAAGTGTAAGGATCAATGTATATTTTATTAGGCTTTACAATGTATATTTTATAAAGGGTTTATGACTATGGAGAATATTTATGTTTGATATTAAATGTTTATTTATATGTTTAAACATTAATTAAATCTATGCATTATTACACATAAACATACTTGACATTTTTTTCAAAGAAATTGATACTTAAAAGATCAAATCATGATATAATCAGTTTTCACATGCAATTTTAAAATATACAAAATTTTTGTGGTTAAGATTATGATTAAAGATTAAACGATTATGGCCAAGTCTGTGAGCCTGACCACCCGATCCAATCAGTTGCCTCTTACAACAAGCACGGGTTGTTGAAGACTGAATCTTCCCGGGGTGGTCGGGTAGCCTAGTGGTTAAAGCGTTCACTCGTCACGCCGAAGACCTGGGTTCGAATCCCAACATGGGTACAATGTGTGAAGCCCATTTCTGGTGTCCCCCACCGTGATATGCTGGAATATTGCTAAAAGCGGCGTAAAACCAAACTCACTCACCCACTGAATCTTCCCAGGGGTCTAAGGCCAGGTTAACTTATAAGCTAGGCATTGGACTTGAGACATCACATGGGACAGTGAGAGAGGCCCATTGTTGGTATCTCCTGAGTGTTGAATCATTAGTGATGGAAGCAGGAAAAAACAGTTTGAATCCCAGTTATTTTTTAAAAGTTGAGTTTTGTTCAAAGTGGATTTAAACCAAACACACTCACTAGAAATTAATGACGAAAAATTGACAAGTTTCTAACAATATATAGCTGTAATCCTGAGGCCCCCCTTTATATTTTACATTGAAAATTAAAGCCAGTCATGTGGGAAAAGGCATCTTCGATTCATGATTAATCACTGAAAAGTACAATATGAAATTTATTGAAATGAATGTCAAATGATAGGAATTAATCCTTTGATCATAGTAATGCAAATAAATATTTTCACCATTATAAACAGATATTTACAGACAGTGATTTTATAGGGGAAATTTTTGTATTGCATTAATTAACAATTTATTTTGTTTTGCTTTGTTAGCTTCAGAAGGAAATGATAGGATTAGTAATAAAATGTTCTTGTGATGAATACGCATGGTACATTACACCAACGAAAAATGAACCCCAAACAAATTTTCTGCTTTGTAAACTTGTGCCCGACCTTTTGGCGAGGGACAATTTTTTGTCATCCTTTGTCCGTGATTTATAGGCTATTTGCTTCTTATTAACAAAACATCAAAGAACTGTTGGCCCAATAAATGTGATTCTTGCATGCAGACCTAGCTTTTATACATTCAGAGTGAGATAGTCTCATTTGTTTATTGATTAGCTTGATTTTGTTCAAATTACTTCGAAACAAATCAATCAGAATCTGTCTTTTTAGAGAACTTCATCAAATCATTTTCATGTTTAATTATTTATGGGTGTCTTCAAACAATCCTATAGATAGATTTAAGATAAGATTAAAGAATCTCCGGTGAGAAAAATAATCTGTTTCTTCAGTTTGAGTTGTTTGGTGCTTCGTCCACTGATGGATTAACTTGGTGCAGCATGAGATGTGTGACAGGCCTTGCTGTATCATGGAAACAGGTGCTTTGTCAACTCACGATGCTAGATATCATGCTTAATTCAGTGGCCAGGAGGACTTGTGATGTCTGTATTTATGTTTCTTTATCTTATGAGATGGTGCACGGGTGGATCATTAGTCTCCTCCACAGAAATGTGTCCCCAAGCCGTGCCAGGGAGTCCCTGATTGAGGGTTTGTTTCCAGATTTGCCCTGATTATTATTCTTTGGTTGTCTGGACAATAATGTTCCTCATGTTTTTTTTACCAAAATGGTTGGCGTCCAAGGCCATCATCAAAGGACATTCCTGCAGCTGACAGACCACGATGTGCCAGACATACTTTCCAACTTTATCATTTTGATGGCAAACTTTCAAGGAGGTTACAGTATGTGCAACAATGTGACATACTGACATTTACAACAGTGTAACATACATGTACAACAATGTAACATACATGTACAATAGTGTCACATACTGATATATTCAATAGTGTAACAAACTGATATGTTCAATAGTTTAACAAACTGACATGTACAACAGTGTAACATACATGTAAAACAATGTAACAAACTGACATGTACAACAGTGTAACATACTGACATTAACAACAGTGTAACATACTGACATTAACAACAGTGTAACATACATGTAAAACAATGTAACATACTGACATGTACAACAGTGTAACATACTGACATTAACAACAGTGTAACATACTGACATTAACAACAGTGTAACATACTGACATTTACAACAGTGTAACATACATGTACAACAGTATAACATACTGACATTAACAACAGTGTAACATTCTGACATTTACAACAGTGTAACATACATGTAAAACAGTGTAACATACTGACATGTACAACAATTATCATACATGTAAAACAATGTAACAAACTGACATGTACAACAGTGTAACATTCTGACATTAACAACAGTGTAACATACTGACATGTACAACAATTATCATACATGTAAAACAATGTAACAAACTGACATGTACAACAGTGTAACATACTGACATTAACAACAGTGTAACATACTGACATGTACAACAATGTAACATACATGTAAAACAATGTAACAAACTGACATGTACAACAGTGTAACATACTGACATTAACAACAGTGTAACATACTGACATTAACAACAGTGTAACATGTAAAACAATGTAACAAACTGACATGTACAACAGTGTAACATACTGACATTAACAACAGTGTAACATACTGACATTAAC